AAATCTTGACTAATCTTGGCTATGAGAAAAACTTAATAAAACTTCTCAAATGGAACATAGAAACTACAAGAAGGCTTTTGGATAAAAAAAAAACAACATTTCTTCAGAATAGATTTAAAACAAGACACTGATGTAGCTAATATAATGTAAACAGGTGTATTCAACAGACAAAGAGACTGAGTGACACAGCCCAGGTGTCAGAGTACACGTGAGACACATCTCGATGAATATCTGTTTACACTGCTCTTATCATCTCTGACGTCTGCAGGGAAAACACTCCAGTGACTCATCTTTATCAGGGAGTTGTGTTACAGTATAGCCTCACCTCGGATATCTACCTGCCTGCCTTTATTTCCTAATACCAGCTGCACCTGGACACAGTGAATCATGAACTAATTACTTTCACTTCTGTTAAGATGTTTCTGCAGACAAAATGACAACGCACTAAAACGTAATAAAGTCTGTTTAAAATGCGTTCATATGATGTCGAAATATTCTTATAAACTGTAAAATGATTCATCAGGTGTATTTATAAGCATTTTACAGTTTTTACAGTCTTCTGTTGACACGGTCCCAGCTTTTTTGAAACAAGTTTGGTATCAAATTCAGACAAGGCATATCTTCTTTTTTTTTTTTTTAACTATTTAATTTCTCAGTTTCAACATTTGACAAGTTGTCTTTAATCTCTTTTGAACTTCCAATGGATTATGTCCACATGCCGTGACCGACATCACTGACATGGATGTTGTCTCTACTGTGGCCAACAAGTGCACATGTGATGCAACAGCTCAAATTATACGACAAAAGATACAGGCTGCAAATCAGAAATGTACAAATGTCTTAAACAAATGCAACAATGTAAACATGCTGAAAAAAGTGCTGCAAAAAGACTTAACACATATACTGACAGCCAACAAAAACACAACACAACTGCAGCAGTCAGTGGTGCATGGACCTCAGGAAAACTGCGCTCCAGTGGCATCCATTGTTATATTGTCTGGAAATTCAATAAAGTTTCCACATCCTTCCCACTCTCTCTCTCTCCTCAATAATAAGGCTGCTTCACTGAGCGCCCCCTACAGGCCTGGAGAACTTCCAATGTGATGACTTGCTGTTTTGCATTAGATTTCTGGATTTGTGTGATTTTACCTTAACAGTTAAATATTTGTTTTGGCTAATTCCAGCATGTATCTCTTTTTTGATTTTTTTTTGCAGCCAGTTTCTCCAAATGGAAACTTTGGTCTATTGAAAAGTGTTTGCAATGGTCGCGAAGTCCCAATTTTGGTAAAAAATGCACAATATTTTCAGCCAGCGTTTAAAAAGTAAGTTTAAAAAAAGACCTCATCCATCACAACAGTAGTCACCCTTGGACCACCAGATCAAAGCAAAACCACAGAGAGGCTTTTTTATTTTCATACTTAAACTTAAAATACAAGTATTTTAACATTCATGAAATAGAACTACAGTCTTGTCCTTTAACAGCGCTGCTACATCTACATCGGCTTATATTTTTCCCTTCAAGTTTCTAATAGATAGTAAATGAAAACGTATTTGAAAAAATCAAAAAAAAAAGATTTGGATATAAATAAATATTCATTATGTTTATTTAAACTTTTTGTAGGTCAGAGATCTTTAGAAATCACTTTTATTGATGACTAATATTAAAATGTTTCAAATGTTTCAAAAGAAGCACAAAGCCCTTCACCTCTAGTTTCACTTCCACAGAGCAAACAGACGTTTCACAACTCTCTTATTGGTGTTAACATACATTTATGACCTTCTCTAATCATGTAGCGAACCATGAACCACAAGTCAGACGATGATTTGATCTTTGCTGCCCACACAAGTCCTACACAGCTATTTGAACTTTAATGAAATTATCAACTGTTGATTTTAAGAGCTCCTCTCTTGTCACAAGAGTGTATAGTGCTTAACTTACAAACAAGTTCACATGCCATCTTTCAGGTCAGCTGTTCTTAGGTGTATGCTTATAGAAACCATATTCTGAATGAGTTGGACAAGTATTTAAAGTGGAAACAAAGAAGAAGGTAATAAGTGTCAGATAACCTTCAACCTCTTTGTCAGAAAATTAACATTGCATTGGACTATGAAGAAGAACAAAATCATTTTTTAAAATGATCAAGCCGATAAAAGGCACTAGTAGAGATCATGTAAGGATTTCACCAAAAACTCAGCATAAGCTAACATCTGTATCTCAAGCAGGGGAGGGTCAGTGTAAATCGAGACCAATGATGCGATGAAGTCTGTGAGATGGCAAGTAGAGCTTGTATTAATCTGAACCAGCGCAACTCAGAATAAGCCAAGACCAGCTATTAAACAAGGCAGTCATTGACAAGTATTGCTGTTATGTACATTTTTGAAACCTTTCCTTATGACATCTGTTTTTAACAATATTTTACTGGATGGAACCATAGATCTTTCATTTTCATTGCTTTCCCAGTTTTTTTTTAAACTATTTTCATGAATGCATAAAAAGCAATTGAAACATGAACAATAACATCAACAATAGCAGCAGACAGCTTCCTTGCTTTGGAGATATTTTAATGATTTATTGTCTTGATTTGCTACAGACAAGATTCAGTTCTGCTGAAGTTCACACGACAGACATAAAATCAGAGAACAAGAAAACAAGAAGCCGTATGAGCTTTATAGGCAGACAAATATAGCTCCTCCTCCTTCTCCTCCTCCTCTCCCTGACTCACTCCTTCTTACTCTCTTTCACACGCACACCTTCATGTTGACTCTCAGTCCCTCTCTTACTTCAGTTGTTCACACGCTGCCTTACACAAACACAAACACACAGCTTGCTTTTCTCCCTGCCATATCTTTTTCTTCACCTGTTTTTTTTCAGGCAGCTGCTGAAAGCCCAAATCACAACCCTCAAACGTAAATGATCTGAAAGCCCTTGGTTTGTTAAGATTTTCTTCCTGGCCAAAAGAAAGTGTTCCTTCTAGATGAGACAGAAAGAAGTCATATCATTTTCCAGACAGACACATTTTCAGTAAGAATAGGCAGTAATACTGACACCACCTGCATTCACTTTTGCAACCCTGTTATCTTAATATAAACTAACTAATCTTACAGATTTCTGTGTTGTTCTTGCTAAACTATAGTCAAATAGTCAAAAAGTGTCCCAGAGCAGGCGTAGATTTTTGGTGCCATTATTCATCTCTCTGTGTTGTCCCAACCAACACCTGGCGCCCGGCCACCACCATCGAACTGTGTCGTCCCCACAAACACCGGCGTCCTCACTCGTGCACGGCCAGCCCTGTCCTCCACCTTAGCGGCGAGGATGTCGACAACAGGAATGCGAGGAATATGAAGGAGAAATCCTTCCTGCATATTATCCCATATGCTCTTTTGTAAAGCGTCTCGAGATAACACTTGTTATGAATTGGTGCTATACAAATAATGATCGATTGATCTCTTAACATCTGAGATTTTGTCATCCAAGTCGAAAGGACGAAAGAAAAAAATAAGGTTAGGGGACCCCTCAACAACTGGACACCAAAATATTGCTTATACATTGTATCGCATAATGATATCAAAAACCCTTTGAAGAATCATTCACTTTAAAGAGTTTTGAAAATAAAATGTATTAAATGAATTTTGACTTAAAGACTTTTAATTTGAAGGGGTCAGACGGGTTGACCATTTCATTTTCAGGTCGACTGTTTTTCAAGATGAAATAAAGGTTGAATTTGTGTGCACTCATCTGTCACCTGACGGATATTGTGTTGTGTGATGTTGTTGCATAATCTATTATACTCACATTATTACTACAAGTGAACTTTATTGACTCTGTTTCATCCAACATGCAGCACTTTCTCTCCCTTCACCTTTTGGCATACTGTGCATATTGAGAAGACAGGATGTCCTCGTGTCGTCCCCCTCCTGGCTGCCTTGGGGCTGTGATGACATTATTGCAGATTAAGTTTGAAAAGGTGTCGACAGGTTTCTTATTCACTCGTGTGTTTACAAAACTTTATCCTTAAAAGATAGTTTGCAGAACAGCCATTTGATAACCTGACCAAATGTGTCATTCAAGGTCAGGACTCTACACATGAAATGAAACAATACAGACATTTAAAATGTAATCAAAATGAATTGTGTTATGACGCCAAATTGTTTTTTTTTTTTCTGAGGATCTGGAGTTTCGGGTGCTTAGCTCCTAAAGAGATGGTGACATGTAGGTCTGCAAGTGTTCAAACTTCCTGCTAAAACACTGATTTCATCGAGCTACAGTTAGATTTTTATTAACAGCCGTTGGGTAACATTTAAATTAAGGTTACAATATTCACCATTAACTAGTTGCTTATTATCATGCTAAGAGACAACTGTATGCTTATTAGTCATTATGAAGCACTTATTATTACCTTAGTCTATATGACTACAGCCTATAGCTAGTAGGCCATTAACTAAGAGTTTGACCTTATTACCCTCCTAATTACTGCACATTGATATTAAGTTAGAAAGTTGTAGAACATGAATTATGACCTTAATATGCTTTTGCTAACCTTAATATGCTTTTGCTAACTAAGCAAAGCAATATTGTATGTCTTCAACTGGGATCCTATTAAACTAAATTCAAACCTATCATTAAGATTTGAGTTTTAAAAACTGTAGTCTCATGTCACATTTCTTCTTGAACTCAATCCTCTCTCTGAACTACTTCTTCTACCGGTTCACTGTGTTATCAGATCAGTAACTTCAGTTTGCAGCTCTTGAAGTCCAAACCTTCCACGGGGGTTTTTCCTTGAGTACCCCAAAGTAAAATATAACTCTACGATAACGTTAAACTCCCAAATTTGACCGTGAAATTATGTTTTATGAACTTAGACCACTGTGATTGCATGCAGCAAGATAATCAGTCAGATTAATGTGCAACACATTATTTAGCAGGCTTTATCTTAATGTGCATTGTTTCTTTCTTTTGGCACAAAATCAGTCATAAATCTGAAAAATGAATCAGCCAGTAGTAAAAAAAAAAAAAAGTTTATAGTGTAAATCTTACATTATATTACAGAGCAGGTTACAGTGGTAATAAGAGTCAGTGTTTCAGTGTTTACAGACAAAAAAACAGCAGAAAAATGTAACAAATAACACTATCATACATTTGATTTACATGCAAAGTTTTTTATTCCAACTCCTTTTGTGCCTTTTTTAAAGTCTAAATCAGAAAATGAAAATCTAAAATATCTGACATATGGTAGAACTGTCCTTTCTAATATTTGTTTAGAAAGAAAAGGGCCCACATCAGCACTTTCCATTTGTTTTCTCAGCTCGTCTCTATCATACATAAATAATATCTGTTAATGTCAAAGCTTGGACTGCAGAGACAGATTAGTCCTTTACTTCTGTGTTCATGTTGTTTGTTCTCCAGCAGCTGGGGTTTGAACAGCATCAGTATGACTTCACTGTAATTACTTTACACGTAATCAGCTCACAAGCCAGAAAACATTTTTGGAAAGACAAAATCCTCAACCAAACTTCACCCTCCTGCAGGTGTTTTATGCTCATTCGGGGCTGTGTGACAATAAAACTGAACTTACTGCCACATAAAACCTCACTGATTTATTTTTCATTAATCTAGAAAACATTCACTGAGGAAGCACAGCAGCACTAACTTTTTTTTGCCAAGAACCAGCAGCTGAAAAACACCATTCAAAGGCGACGCCTCTCCTGTTCCTGCCTGCGGTCGCCAATCAGCCTCGCCGTCTCATGATGATGATGTCATGACCCCGAACTGACTCAGCTATCTCCTGGCTGTAAAAGAAAAAGATAAAAAAAATAGAGGCAGGAGGAAAAAAATCAAAAACATGTAGAATAAAGGTAAACACGGGAAAATGAGGCTTAAAATAAGAAAACATTGCACAAGTGGTGGTCAGGCGGTGTCATAAAGTGGTTTATAGGCCTGATGCGAGCAAATAAAACACAACAGGCTAGAACAGAAAACAATGCAACACAATTTACTATCAGCATTTATTGCCCACAAATAAAATGTGTTGTTTTTTTCATGACTGCAGGAAGGAAACATTTAAAATCTCTAAAAATAAAGCTAATAAAAAAGCAACAACTTGGATTTACAAACCCTCCTCAGATTGTCTACAGGTGTTATAACAGTCTTTATACTGTTACTGATAATACAAGATAAATAAGATTGGCCTTAGTATGAGTGAGGTGCTTGTTATGTATGGCAGGATGTGAAGCTATGACGTTAGTGAGGTAGTGTTCTGTTAAGGATCACTGACAAATCTGAATTGCTAAAAATCAAAATCAATTATTCAGTCTCCCATGAACAGTCAAAGTTAAAGTAGAATTAAAAATGTTTTGTAGTAAAAAGTCATTATCATGTCCTTACATAATACTGCCTTAACAAACACAACAACAATACCAAACAAAAAACGACCCATGTTCAGAGGCTGTAGTCCTTGAAGTGAGCAGCCCAGGTTCAAATCATTCCCCATTCTCTCTGTCCCTGATTTCCGACTCTATCCACTATCCTGGCGCTGCAATAAAGGCATAAAAAGCCCAAAAATAAACCTTAAAAAAAAATAAACATATGCAAACAACGTTAAAACTGTCAGCTTCCTGCTGTCCTTCAAGAAATACTGTAAACAGGATCTGCACACACACACACACACACACACACACACACACACACACACACACACACACACACACACACACACACACACACGCACACACAAAACAAGGCAGCATTGGAGAAAACAAAGGAAATGTCAGGCTATGATTTTGACTAAAAATACACCCTAAGTCACAATCCAGAGATGACGTTCTTTTTGAAGAAGAATTGTATTTGTTTTTCGTTTTACACTTTGTAGACCCAAAAAAAAAGAGTTTTAGGGAGGCACAAAGAATAAAAAAAAGATAAGATCAGTATCTCTTATTTTGTGTTTGAGGCTTCACAAACAGAAAATCTGTATAGCACATAATAAGAACCTGTAATATGAAATGCTTTAAAGTTAAAAAAAAAAAGTCCTGGCCTTCAATTAATAGCACAGACAAAGAGACGTGTGTGTGTTTGGAGGCTGCCTGCAGAGTACTGTACATGCTCTCTGCAAAAGGAAATGGACAACAACATCAACACACAACCTGCAGCACAGACTTTGTTCTGATGTAACAACTACACGACACAGAGTTGCAAGTATGTATATAATATCTATTTGAGCAACAAAACATCCATCCATGTCCAAAAAGGTTGTGTTATTAGTTAAATATTGATCACACACATTTAGTATCATGATGGATCAGAAACTATTGCAGAGATACAATTGTATGAAAATGATCAAAAGTCCATTAGCCGGCTTCTCTCATGAATGCCTTTACTTTTGAATTATAGGACTAAACTAAACTTTCCAAATCTAAATGTAGATGTTTTTGATTAAATGTTGTGTAGTTGTAATGGATCCCGTCTGCCCATTGTAAACAGATTAAAGCAAAGTGTTTTCCTTTTGAAGAGTTTTCCTTGTTTTTTATTATTCTAGCCTCCCTGCTAGAATAAAAGCTCCTCACACTGCTGACTGTACGAAACTCAATCTGACCTCCTCCACAGAGCGTTGTGAAAGATGAAGAAGTTTGACAGTGAATAAAACATCATATGTTTAATGTTTGTATTATCAGTCACAGATCCTCAATACTTCAAATGTTATTTTATATAAATTGTTTTGAACTAAGTAAAGAATGCCTGCACCCTCAAGGCTGCAGCATTATAAAGCATGCACATTTATTTCTGGTTCAAACATGATATCTATGACTCATTATTGTTGCATTGTTAATAAAGGATCAACACCATCCCGGATCAATGAATACAGTAAGTCAGTCTGTATGTGTGTGTGTGTGTGTGTGTGTGTGTGTGTGTGTGTGTGTGTGTGTGTATGTAAAATTTTCAGTTCATTCCAGCACTTTAGTGTCAATTTCTGAGTCTTATTTTCCTCAAAACACGTGAGAAAAAACTGAATTTTAACCTGTTGCTAATAATTCAATAAGATATCTAGTGGTTATAGTCTTTTCTTCTCATTTCAGTGCAGTGATTTGCTGTCTTTGAAGGCTTTTAGAGAAAATAAGGATCTCAATGCTCACAAGTACAGACAAACAATAGTCCACTAAAGTAAAATGAAACACCTATGTATACTGCACAATAAACATCCATAGAAACAACTTTCCTGTATGTCAACATGAGACACATCTTCACAACCCTCTTCATTGAGACAAATCTCTCTGGATGTTCTGAAAAGGATAAATGTTTCTTGATACCTTAGAGTCCTATACTGAAGGTGCACAATGTGATTAAAGACTCTGTAACATGTAAAAGATAAATTGCAGTCTTCCATTTATAACCCAGTATCTTTCCTCTCACACCATATAGCCATTACATTGAGCACGGAGCAGACAGTTAAAAATTGCTCCGCTTCAGCGCCGCTGTTAATCATCCTGTTTAGAGCTCAGGAGATGAATTAGTCCTTTGACCTCTTTAAGTGAAGGAATACTTAGTCTGAGACTCAACATGAAGCTGATTTGAAAAGGTGGTTCAATCTTACTCTCAGAGCACTTAGAGTAACACATATAACTGTGAAAAACACTGTTTAAAACAGCAGAGTTGACCAAAGTGCTTTACATCAAACAGATAAAAAGCATAAAAAGAGAAAAGAATAAAATAACAATAGGCAAAGCAAAACGAAACAAACAGACAACAAACAAGAATAAAACCATAGACACAAACAAACTCTTAGGAACGCCAAAGCATACAGAAAATTCAAGAAAACAAGCTGCCCTTTCACTTCAGTGATCTCTTTTACTGAAGGACAAAGACGTATTACGATGATGAACAAATCACTGAAGAGAAGGACCAGATGAAGCGGTCTGATTGATGAGATGTGAATTGTCTTTCTGCCTGATAAAGTGGATCTGCGTTTAGCTCTCTCTAGAGTACATTTATCTAAAAAAGAGTGTCAGGATGCTTTTAAAGCCTTTAAAGTCCACAATTTTAGATATTTGCAGCAACAATCTCTTTATTAACTGCCATCATGCTAAAATTGTTAAAGAAGTTTTGAACATGAACAGTGTTCGTGCCTTGCAGGTTTGTAAGTTTTCATCGATATCTTTCAGGTGCTTCTCCAAATCATATTTAGCACCTAAAGCTCCTATCTTCCGCTCATTTATGTTATGCAGGCTAAGAGTGTGAAAACAAATTGCAATTCAGTAGAGGATCAAGGGTTAAGCCATGGTTTTCCTCTGCTTAATTAATCATTTAATGATTCATTCTTGCTGAAAGGAGATGAACCAGTTTGATGTATGGGTAGATGTTCTGTCTTGTCGTCCTTGTTGATGGATTGGGAACTTGCGTCAGCGTTAAGCAGATGTAAGAGTACTTAACAGCAGCTGTATGTATTGGCTGGAGATCAGAGGTGGAGACAGGAGACTTGTGTAGCAGATAAGTCATCCTCCTAACATTTTTTTTTTTTTCAACTGGATATTACTGTTATTGAGTTAATTGCCTTAGACAGCCTCAAGGCAAGATCAACATGTGAATAAAAAAAAAATCCTGCTATATGTAGGGGTGTGTCCAGAGGTATGTCCAGCAACTGCATGGGCCCCCCTTGAAATCTAAATGGGCCCCCCCAGGTGTCACCCTAAAATCCCTAAAAGACGGTTGTCTTTTTGACTTGTCAGAGGCGGGGCTTGGGTAAAAACCAACTATTCGGCTGTGTTGCAACAGGCTAATGCAGTTCATTTTCATTTAAATGAATAAAGTCGTAAATTTACGACTTTATTCTCGTAAATGAACGAGTTCGAGACCAGCCTGCGTGAAAATGATGAAAGTAGAACTCTTAAAGTCTGTAAAGAATAAAAGAATAAAGTTGTTATTTTAGTCTATATCAGAAGAGCAGCAGCATCCTGTTCTCAAATGACAAACATGGAGCATCTTGTCCTAAAGGTTTCACTAATAAGGAAATAGGCTTCTTCCTTGTGTAGTCGGTAAAAACAGTTAGTTCAATAGAAGTTTTCACTTCAACTTGTAAGACCTTGTTTATCTGTAAAATGATGAACAGGACACAAACTGGCTCTGCACATGAGACACTTTAACAAGGCAGACCGATAACAGACACAAATAGTTGTGTTGGGGCTTTACTTATGCAGATATGAAACTACACATGCTTTAGGCACATCATCATCATCTTCACATTGTCATAAAATATCAGCACCCTGAAAAGATACCGCAAGAAACTGTGGCTTTTCCGAGGAAAGAACCACACTGACTTGGAGGAGGTTGTCTGCAGAGGAAAAGACTTCAAGAGTTCTACTTTCATCATTTTCGCACAGGCTGGTCTCGAACTCGTTAAATTTACAAGATTATTCTCGTAAATTTCTGACATTAATCTCGTAATACAATTTACGACTTTATTCTCGTACATTTACGACTTTATTCTTGTAAATTTACAAATTTATTCTCGTAAATTTACGATTTTAATCTCGAAATAAAAAAATAAAAATACTTTTTTTAAGTGGCCCTAATCCTCCGTCGTACATATTTGATAGTATTTTAAATTGTAGAAAAATACTCTACACATCTATTTCATTTAACAGTTGCATAGGAGGGGAATGTATCCATAACAAAATTACAAGCAAATTCCAGAGGGCGCCCCCTAGTGCCATATTAGAGGTGGAGTATATGAGTGTTGCATTGGGTAGACATACTTGTAGGTGTAGGCAACAATAAGTGCATACCAGAGATGCAACACAGC